TGTCTGAAGTGCTATTGCAGCTTTTCACTGAACATATTAACTTTTTATTTGATTTAACTTTAGAAGAAAACTTCGTCGACTCCATCATCAAAAAAATTTTTACTTTTTTAACGTGTTTTATTATTTTAATAAACAATTTTACAATTTGCGTGCATAGTTCCTATGTACATTTTTCGCTCATTCGAGTTATAAATTTTGCCACCAGATGGTGTATGCCCATTTGACGGATCCCACTAACTGTATTAATATTTTCGAAATGAAATTATTAGAACTGACTAAGAGGGAGCTGAAAGTCCTGGGCGTTTTTAGGTTAAAGTAGGAAACTAATAAGAGAATAAAATTTGGAAAATAACATACGAAGTGCTAGGAAATAGTAGTAAAGTTATTTGCAGAGGATTAATATTATTATTAACAAAATTTTACAGGCTATAACGTTGCATTGATGCCAACACTTCATAAACATAAACGGTTGATAATAATATACGTTCACAATGTTACAGAGGGGTTGCTGAAAGCTGGCGCAGGTTTTATTGATGATTGATTTTATTGCAAAAAGGTGAGAAATAAGATTTTGTTAAGTTCCGATAAGCTTCCGTTGCGGAGGCAGATGCAGATGCGGATGTGAAAATGTATGCGGAACTTCCGTGATTACGGAAGTGGAAGCAGAAGCAGAAGTCTGTTGCAACACTACTGTATAGATATGAGAAAACTTTCAAGTTTTTTTGAATTAGTAATAAAAGTTTGTGATTCATATAACCACTAAATTTATGTACAAGATTATAATCCGTGAGCGTATGCATGTAATAATTGTTGACCAAGACGAATGCCACTTTTTACGATTAGTAATGTTTATTTTTGGTTTGTCTGATTGTTTTTCACAAGTAAGTATATCGTTAAACAAAAGAATGCGTTGCTAAAAGATGCTGCATTGACTTTAAAACGATAAAATTCTATTGGCTTTATTTATTAATGGTATCTACCGCAAAAATAGATTACTGTTTTTTTTTTCGTTTGGTAACAGACTCGATGTACGTATTGTTTACTTTAACGATAGCGATAGATGTAATTGCTACATGACACGTAATGCAATTAAATTAACATGTGTCAAGAAAGTGTCCGAAACAATGGTACAATAACACGATTACTGTGTACCTACCTACCCATTAGAAAAAGAAATTAAATTGATTATTTTTACTAGAAAACCAATATGCGATTTAATTAGTTCGGGGCTGGTTCGTTTAGGTAACTGTTAAGCATGTCTACTTAGAATTAGATTGATACAATACGCAGCCGAGAGGAGAGCCGGACGTCCGCTAGAGTCCCGGCGGCGTGTGCTGTGCTCAGCTGTTGTTTTCTTAACGCTGCTCTCCATATAGTAGAAGTGAAACTTCAACGGACAAGTGGAAAAACGAATGGCAACGGATAAGCGGAAAAACGAATCGAAACAAAATTTTTACTTCAAGTTTTATGGCCGGATTGTTAATGTACTTGTCCAACTTTGAAATCCTGCCTGTAAAACTTCAAATAAAAATGTTGTCCGGTTTTCAAATTGGACAAGTACATTAACAATCTGCCCGTAAAACTTGAAGAAATTTTTTTATTGTGATTCGTTTTTCTACTTGTCCGTTGAAGTTTCACTTCTTCTATGTGTCCCAGCACACGTTTCGTTTTTTTTTTAATAATTTTTATTTCCGTATTGTATTTCTTCTTTTTTTGTTTGTTATAATAAGAAAGTAATCACCTAACCAATATGTGAAGACGTATTTAATGTTTAGCAATCAATTTTGGTAAGTCTGTCCTTACGTAACAGCCAAGAAAACTAAAGACATAACTAATAGTTCAATACGAAGCAAATGGTTCTAAAAAGCATCATAACTTATAAAGGATAGAAAAAGAGACGGTTTGCTACGCGATGAACCTACCCGCGACTTGGATGCGCACTGCTTTACTGCGCAGAGGACTATCGACCTTAGTTTGGTGTCGCTCTTATAGCTCGCGTTGTACATTGTACGTCCTTATATAGTTTGTGTCCTCGTCTCTAGTCTTCTTGGTGAAAACTTTAAAAAAAATTGCCTATTTTATTTACCAGTGTTTCAAAAATGAAGAATAGAGTGGAAGATCTCTTTCAACTTCTTTTTGGGAATTGTGGGAAAATGAAGACACAAGAGAAGTGAAAGACTATCTGCGGAATATAGCTCTACCCCAGCATTTGTCCAAAATGAGCCAACGAAATCATAAGAAAATTTAGACAAGAGCGAACGTACCGAGATGGTGTCGTCCTGAATGCTAGGTCATGTGTAAATCTCTAGATCATCCTTCAATAAAGAGATATTTTTGCTTTTAAAATTGTTATTAAATGCGTCCCCCTCTAATTCTTAAACAATCGTATTCGCAAAATATCTCAAGGGCTGGTGAATGAGACCTTTAATTAGTATGTTCATTACCACCTATATTGTAGCAAAAATTGTTTATGAAAAATTTAGAAACAACTGTTATTCTGTCCCTTCCCATCATTTTTAAATAAGACTATACAAAAAATGTGAAAATAATTTGAGAATGTCATGAGAAGTGGGAGGCTGGTGGAGGCAGCGGGGGAGATCCTATGGTCCTTATAAACTCCATAGTAAGAACCTTAGTTTGGATTGAGCGGCATGGCCTAGAGGTTTAGACCATTGCTTAGCATTCGGGAGGACGCCGGTTCGATTCCGGGCCCGTCTGCCTTGGTCCAAGCTTTTCTGTGGTTTCCTTGAATCACTTAGGTAAATGCTGGGGCAGTAATATTCCACAAATCGTCTTTCACACCCGAACCACCACCCACCCATTCCCACGATTCCTGAAAGGGGGCTGAAAAGGGCTTTCCGCCCTACCTTGCGGTGTAGTCAGGAGGGACTGCCCACCCACCAGCATTACTGGCTGGTTGAAATGGAACACCCAAAATTTTTTTTCCTTAGTTTGGACGTAGGGTTGGAGTAAAATGGGATGCTTGAGTAAGGTTCAAACAAGATATTACAAGATATAGGTATTCGGAGAATTGAACTACACATATGCGTAGGTAATAGGTGACCAAAGATATATAGCAGAAACGAGAAAAATCTTGGATATATACGAGCCAGAAGCCAATAACAGAATAAAACCTAACAATATACGACTGCCTCGAGCTATGAAATTCCTGTAACCTGCATACAATTGAAGAGCATCGATAATAAAATTAACAAAGGTGGTTGTCGTCGAAGACCTTCGCCGAACCTGAGCATTCGGACCGTATCAGCCTATTACTGTTTGCAAAAGAACATTTAAGAGATATTTGACTACTTTGTATTCATTTGAAATTACTCAAATTTCCAATATAATAAAATAAAATAGGTTGAATAGTGATAAGTAAATCTATCTCTAACGACTAAAAAAATATTAAAATTAAATTGAAACAGTAATCTAATCTAGGTTTACCTCTACTCCTAACTACTGTTTCTGCTTCCAACATATATCTAATTAGCCCTTCATGCCTGAGGTGTATTATCAGCAACAAGCTTTTCTTATTGACAAAGCATCGTCTGCTCTCCTACTCTTTCTAATATCTCCTCATTTTCAACCTTCCTTATTCACGGTATCCTATAGCAGGGATGGCGAACCTTTACGTATTGACGTGCCATTTTTATAAAGAAAAGTTTAATCAGGTCATAGGCGTGCCATCAAATAATTTTGTCTCTGTGATTATTGGGAAAATAATAATAATAAATAATATCAACTTAAACTTTTTTATTTACTACAAAAAAATAGGAACATTTTGCAATGTTTAAATTATACGTGTAATTTAAATTAAAGTAAAAATTAGTGTTACTTTTGTTGTTGCAGATTAGATGACAAATAACTTATGTTAGGGTTGTAAGATGTTACTTTTAGCAGAATGCATGCTGAACTAGAGTTATTAGAGATAGATATTATTCATCTCTGAAAATAATGACCCGCAGGCATAGGTTGATAAAAAAATATTGTTAAAAGAGCATAAGCCAACTTCTTCTTCCAAGTGTTTGGTAACGCATTTCATGTTTCCATAATTTTTTAAAATTACCTGTCAATCTTTCTGTTTCAATTAGTTTCCTTGTTTCAATAAACTTTTGGATCCATATTGAACTAGACTTTATGATTGATATTAGTGACGTGCCCAAAATATTGTGTCGCGTGCCACTAATGGCACGCGTGCCATTGGTTCGTCATCCCTGGCCCATAGCATCATCATTCTTTGACGCGCTCATCGTTCACATTTCATCCTTGAACAGAGCCGTGCTCAAGGTATATATCATCGACTTAATTCCGGATGTAAAGGGGGTAGAGTATTTAAATGGGTTTACCACAACTAAAAAAATATATGGAGATATGGGCCACAATAATAAACTGATTTTGAACTACCTCAAATGAAAATGAAAATTTCCCATCGTTCTGTCAGTAAAAGGTTTAAGAAGTTTTTTTTTACAAGGGTTTTATAACTAAAACTTCTTTTCTTTTCATTGGCATGCAATTTGAAAAGGGAACCTTACATTTTCTTACATTCTTTTTAGTATTTAGGCCTTAAACCTGATGATTTATTGGCATTTTATTAATTTATTAATAATATCGATAAATTAGGACGAAATTTGTATCCCTTAAGAATAAATTGAAAATTCGGAAGAGGTTTCTGTGCATAAAATAAAAGCAACATCTTAAGTATCAAGCACAGGGAAGGGCTTTTAAAAGAGATTATAATCAATAGTCTGAAGATTCATTGAAAAATTTGAAGATTGACAGACAGACGGACAGAGTTTCCATAAGAATGAGTTTTGATGGACCCTTTGCGTACGAAACCCTTATAAAAATTGTTAATTTCTGCCTTTATTCGTGTCCAACGATTGCACGAGAACATATGATTGAACGTGCCGGCCGCCACAGTTTTTGATTTGTACGTATTATTGAATTAGCGGTTAGCATTGTTGGAGCGGCACCGTAAGTTATAAAAGCGCGCCGTAGTGAATCCATCGGTTAGTTTATTGAGAAGCGATGAAAACAAACAATATTTAAAAACGTTCACGTACCCAACGAGCTCGTATTTGAATGCAAACGCGTTTACGTAATAGAACTAATTACGGCCGAGGCTCGCTACTAAATAAATAAGCAGTGACTTTTGATAAAAAAAAATAAAAATAAGAGGAAAAACGAAAAATCGAAAATGTTAAATTTAGTGTTTTCGTTATCAGTGCTTTTAATTCTGACCAGTGTTTTGTGCCAACATCCTCCTGTTACCCAGTTTAGGGTGATTAGGCAATGGAAGTATTTTAATTTCACGTGGCCAGACGAAAGCACCTACATCAAAGCCGTGGAACAACATCATTATAGCCCCAAAAATATTATTTTGAAGCGATTAAGATACTACGATGGCTGGTACTATCTAACCCTTCCCAGAATGAAGTCTGGTACACCGGCAACTCTGGTGAAAATTCCTGAAAGTTTGAAGAGGGGTACTGCGCCCCCTCTTGAGCCGTTCCCATCATGGCAAATGAATGTCGAGGGTAATTGTGAAGCATTACAAAACGTCCAGAGTATTGAAATAGACGACAAAGGATTAATGTGGATTGTCGACTTGGGAGTTACATCGGTCGTCGAAAAGGAACCTAACACAACGTGCCCTTCCAAACTTGTGATTTATGATATCAATAAGCAAAAAGTTGTCGTTTCGTATGTATTCCCGGATGATGTCGTTGACGTTGAAGGTTATCTGTACGATATCGTCGTGGACGGAAATTTCGCCTATATAACGGACAATAGCGCCGATAGTCCAGGAATAGTTGTATATTCCATGAAAGACAACGATTCATGGAAAATAAGCCATCCGAAATCGATGAGCGCCGAACCAAACGCTCAAGAATTTCGACTTAATGGAGTGGTAATATCGCAACCCATCAACATAGCCCCGATAGCCTTAGGGCCAAGGTTACGTGTTTCGAACGGTAGAGTTATCCTCAGTGACGACAGAGACGTCTATTACAGTCCTTTCTCTAGTTTTCATTTGTACTCAATCACCACGGACATACTGCGTAACAAAAATAACCATGGCAATTTTGATGGGGTCATTAGGGACTGGGGACAGAAAGCTTCTCAAACTGATAGTATGATAATGGATAATCAGGGAATTCTTTATTACAGTCTTCTGACCGATAACAGCATTGGCCTTTGGGATTCTAAAACACCATTCACTTCTGCACAAAGGGTTGTTGCAAGGGATAACAATTACATACAATGGTTAAGTTCGTTCTCTTTTGATAATCGTGGAAATTTAACCGTGGCATCAACGAGGATGCAGAATTTAATAGCTTACGGGGAATTCAACATTACCCAAAACAACTTTTGGATCTTATCTGCTCATAGTGGAGGTAGGAGTTACGTTTATGATTTCAACGAATATCAACCTTTACCAACGACTTCTCCGGATTATGATGGAACTTCTGACAATGGAAGTTTGGAAGTAAATCCGACTGTTTCAAGAACACCTTCGACCACTGTATCAAGTACCATTGCCAATTTTAGTACTACGGTTGTGATTACTACCTCCACTAGTAGTTCTACCAACTCACCTTTGGATCACCCTGATGATTATAGTAATATGGTTCAATCTAGTGGCAGCCAAGGGGGATTGAAAATATTTTGGGGATGTGTCTCGCTAGTGCTGTTTGGTTACTACACAAATTGGTAAAAGTTTTATTGTCGTTGTGATATTTTTATGAGACTTGTAAATATTCCTATCAGTAGAATTATTTATTAGTTTAAATTTGATCGATTGAAATTAGAAAGCTTTCTTTATTTCTTCCTTACCTTCAATATTACCTACATCTACTTAGTACCTACCTACAATATTTGTAACATTATAAAGACTTTGTTATAGATTAGATAATAGTATGAGATATTATTTAATAAAAATGAGAATATGATTTATTCCGTAAAACTAGTATAATTTGAGTATATTTTTTGTTGTGTTGTTCAGCAAGGCGATTTAATAAATATGTATGAATATTTGAATATTGACCAAAGTACAACAAAAGGATAATTAATTGTATAAATGCTGTTTTTTTTGTATTTAGCATTTATAATTTACTGTAATTTGCTGATGTAATTTCAAGGGAACAGTTGCAATAAAATTTTAAAGAGTTTGAATATTTTTGTAAAGATATGGTAATAAATACGTCATTTGAAAATTTAAATAAATTATGGACTGACTTCAAAATAAATACAGCTGTAAGATACATAAAATTGATTTTATTAATTGACGGCTAATGTTTTGTTTATAACTAAAAATTAAAAAGTATTTTATTTATTTAATGTAGAGACAATTCACCTAATTTTGCATATTGCGTTATTTCAAAATCTTTTAATAATTTTTTGTAAATGAAACCATAAAACAATAGTTCTGTGAAATAAAATAATCCGAGTTGGAGCATGTAATTCAACTGCTCATCCTAATATTATGTGTTTACAGTGGAATTCGTTTATTATGACTCCGGCTATATTGACCAACCGCTTAATATGAAGTAACTGCAGTGTTAAGTTTTCATATTAAATTCTCTATAGGAGAGTGTGGATATAATGACTCCGCTTAAAACGACATATTCGTTTATTATGACTGATTCTCAAGAAATCATATCCGGCTATAGTGACCCAAATGATTAATAATAACATTTTCGCTCATTTTTCTGACCCTTCTTATGTTTATTGATATTACAATTCATCGTTCTTTTCCTGTTAATAAATATATACAATTTGTAGTTTCTTTCTCTATTAAACTAAATAACTAACCAAGATAGAAAGTCGTTTATTTTTTAAGACTATGCTTTGTATAACACCCGCTTATTATAACGTGTTTGGCATTTCCCTTCGATGTTATTATATGCGGATTCTACTGTATTTGTATCGATGATTTTTTTTCACTTGCAAACTGTTATAAAAAGGAAAATTTATCAAGGATGTAGTACAATAATTGTACAATAAGCCTAAATTGGAGTACTTTATGAAACACATTGACATTTAATAGTGGTTAATACCATATATTAATGTGAAAATTAATTTTTAGTTTTTTACCGACTGTAAATTATCTCAAGTTAATGAGAAAAAATTTGTTACTGTTGTCACACTCTCGCCGGGAATCGAACCCTGGACTTTTGGCTTTACACTCCAATGCTCTGATCAGTAAGCTACAAAAGATGACAAGAACGTTATTGGCTTAGTGGTCAGAGCATTGGTGGATAAAGCCTCATTAACTTGAGATAATTTATAGTAGGTAAAAAACTGAAAATGAAATTTCGCACTAAATTCAACTGTTTAGAACAAACATTCCTTCTATAGATACGAAAAATGGTCTAAAATTGAAAATTAGGGACCCAACATACAGACGTATGATATTAACTAAATGATTACGAATAAACTAAAAAAGAATCTTTATCTGTTTGGATTTTTGGATTCTTTGACCAAAACTTTTTCAGGATTTACATTCTTAACATCTGAGCTACGATGATGATGATGATCCATGCGATTCTTGACGAAGGTGTTTATATAAGGCTATTTGATGTTTTAATTGTTTTAAAAACATTTGCAGGTCACGATTGAGAAATGACAGTGGTGCTTTAAAATTTGCTTATGCTAATTAACTTTACCACAGGTATCGTGTAGGATGTAGTTTATTGTTTTTCGATAACCTGATGTGATGGTTCGAGTCCTATCTAAATTTGTAAAATGAAACCCAAGCCATACGGAAATTATGAAAAATTATAGCTCGGTGCTGGTGTTTTTCTTTGCGATTTTCTATCGTTTATGAAAATCGATGATAATAAAATCAACGTTATTTATTTGAGGTACTTTTGATGAGTGTAATAAGAAAACAGGTGACTCGCCATATGATTCACAGGTTATTTAGAAGTATTAAAAGGAAATATGTATTATGTATAAAAGGTGGTGAACTTGTAGGCGGCCATGGTGACGTAAGCAATTACAGTTTCGTTAGCAATTTTTATGTGTGACCATACTTTTAAGTTTAGACATGCGTAATGCAATATGTTTGTACATGTATATGAATACCAGGTACAGCAATATTAGCATCTAGCAAGGAGGATTTAGAGATAGATTTAAATATAATGGATGCGGTACTGACAAAACAGTACTGTATGAAAATAGATAAAAGTAAAACAAAAATACTGGTATGCAAGGGAAGAAGAAATAGGAAAGAGCGAATATTAAGATAGGAGACGAAAAATTAGAACAAGTGACTGATTTTAAGTATCTAGGAAGTCGGATAAGTCAGGACGGAGTAGTAGTAATATAAAGCAGAGGATAGCGCAGGGTCCAGTCGCTTTCAATAAAAAAAAGACACTTCTATGCTCGCGAACGGATAATTTAGAAATTCGAAAAAGATTGTTAAAGGTGTATGTTTGGAGCGCGGCGCTGTACGGTTGCGAAACATGGACGTTGGGTGCGGCGGAAAAGAAAATGTTAGAAACGTTTGAAATGTGGTGTTGCAAGCGAATGAAGAGGATACCATGGATAGAGAAGGTTATAAATGAAGAGGTATTAGAAAGAATAGGAGAACAGAGTACTCTATGGAAATCAATAAGAAATAGGCGAGTTATGTCAGAAGGGGTACAGGTAGATATAGATTAGATTTCTGTTCGCAAATAGTTAAGGATGTGGGAAGTTTTAGTTTTAGGGAAATACGAAGACTAGCTCAGGATAAGAAAGAGTGAAGGTACGTGTCCAACCAGTCTTAGGACTGACGACGTTATGTTGATGATGAATACCAGGGTTATACCGATAGTAATGTATTGGTTGTATTGGACAACAGTAAGTTAATTATTCTTTCTGTGCAGATGGTTTTGGATATGAAACTAATTCATATACAAGATTTTTAAGATATGAGAAGTTACGCTGAGCCTAAATTTGCCGCCCTTCCTATTTTTACAATTATGTAAAATCTTTTATTTAAATTGGTCGATATTACAGTGAAAAGGTGTACAAAGAACTTATATTTTTGATTTAGCTCTTGACAAGATAAGTATTGTTCATTAATAGTGAAAATTGATAATGTATTTACAAATAGCTTTCCTTGAATACTTAAACAAATGTATAGGGATGTACGTTGGGTACTATTCACCAGAAATGTGCAAAATGGTGTTTCAAAAGTATTTAAATACAAAATGCAAATACTTTTTTGATTTGTTATTTCAAATGTAAAATACAAAATAGATTTCCGTTTTGTATTTTAAATGCTAAATGCAAAATACGTATTTTCAAAATACTTTTTTCAAATAAATACTGTTTTGCTATTTAATTTTCTACATTCACTTAAGTATAAAATATTTTCTAAGAAAACCATGCAGGCATATTTTCATTCTTTAATTATTGGATTTTTTTCTAGACTAATAGTGGTGTTTGCATTATGTCAACAGCTGCGATGATTAAATATGATTCATATTTTTCTGTTTGAAGTGATTCAGATATGGTTTTTCTATCTTTATGTTATAGGTTCTTCAGTTTAGCAACAAATAATTCTTCTATATGCTTCCTTATTTACCTTTGTCACCCGTTTTAATTGGAAAAAAGACACTGATGCCAAAATAGTTTGTTTACCGTGAAAGATCAGAGCCAAAATAGGATTGAAAATAATTTTATTGATGTAAAATCAACACCAGTTATTCTATATCAAAATATTTACAACCCCATTTTGTTTCTGATTTTTTACACATTGTAATAAGACAAAGAAATAGAATCTATAGTTTCTTTAGCTTTGGGTTCACCTAATAAGTGAAGTTTTTCGAATCGTTTTTTAAGAATTTTGGAATTTAGGCATTTATTATTACTTCACAATATTTTGTAGTTTTCAGTTTTACACAGCTGGCGTATATCAATTCGATATTGTTTTGCGGGCTGTTTTGTCGTAATTCATAGAATTTCGTAGTTCTTTGCTGAAGGTACGATAAGTAGTGATTTGGCAGGTGCTGATATCAATTTGGAACTTCACAATTCCATGGACCATGACATCGAACCCGATAAACAATATCGATCCAATATTTTAGATTATCCATTTCCAAGGAGTTTAGAATTTTTTGGGCTCTCTTCAGTTAAAGAATGCAAGAATTTCGCAATTTCTTGCTAAAGGTACGATAAGTGGTGATTTGACAGGTGGTGATATCAATTTGGAATTTCAAAATTCAATGGACCATGACATTGAACCCGGAAAACAATATCGATTCAATATTTTAGATNCAATACAAAATAATAAATAAATATTTTTCAAGAAATGTACAATTTTTATTTTTCGGATCCATTACGAAAATGTCCCTATGACTCAGAAGTTAATAAATTTTAGCAGTTGGTCTATCTAGAGCCGCCGATTGGGTAAAAGTAGAGTCGCTTGTATGCAAAAGAAATTTTATGATCTTTTCCATATGATACAAGATTTGTTAATTTCCACAAAATAGTTAATTTCAATTCAAAATGTGTTAATTTAGTTAGGAATAAACGTAAAATTAAGCATATGAATTTGCAAAGGTTTTGCATAAATTACTTCATTTACATACATAATTCAGAATAGCAAGAGGATTTTGAGGATTCATCTCAAGATTTATAAAGAATTGTAGATTTCGGTTCTTCAAATAGATTATATATATCTTCAGTATTTTTATTGCCGTATTTTTTCCATATATCTTTGCAATGAGTTTCAATAACTCAGGATTCTGTATTGTTTTGCAGATGGCATTTAAAAAATTTATCATAATATTACGTAGTACTAAAAATAGTGTCTTGTTTAAAATAAACATATAGGCGAAATCTATACAACACCAGACGACTCATGTTTTTGCCTTTTGTATGTTTTTCTGTGATTGTTACTATCCTGTAACGTACATTTTCGTGCTGTGGGAGTTTGGATTATAATAACGACTTTTGTCCCTATCAGAAAGTGAACTATTAGGGTCCGACCATTCGACTTTCAGCATTTGTTATATTGGCTATAAAAATTTGTCGTTTTTTCCGGTTAGATACAAGACAGTTGCTCTTAACAGATTTTTATCAACACAAAAATCTTGGTATTTTTGCCAACCAAGACTATAATGTCTTGCTACACGGTACAAATTATTAATAACTGATACAAATACCAAGAAATTAA